TCTTGAAATTGCTTGGCAATGAGTGCACATTGTATTTGGGGGCTGGCTGGTGCTCCTCAGCTGTCACTGTGCAGACAACATAACCCATAAACTGTTATCTAGTGTTGTGGATGCTTTGAACACCACCTTTAACAATGAATGGTGTTCCCACAATGTTCACCTTATAGACCAACGTCGACTCATTTTTCTTCTGCAGCATTCTTGTTTGAGAACCAACATATTTTTCACGGATGTTCACCATTCCCGGGGCCCAGGCAGAGCATAGATAATGGCTCATAATAAAATGGCCAATCCAGGAGCAGAGTACTTACAGAGCGAGCTGCAGGGGTCACGTGGGTTCTCTTAACCCTGTTCTTTCTACCAATTCCCCAAGCCATCAGGAAGGGATGCAAAGCAGGATGTAACCAGAGATGAAGGCAGACTGCATTTTTTCGTTTTTGAAGCCCTTTAGGGAGATATAATTGAACCATCTTCAGTGTTGAGTTCTGTGAGTCTTGGTGACTGTGGACAGGAGGGCCACCATCACCCCATTTGTCACCCCAAAGGCCATCCCCACACTCCATCAGCACCAAGCAACCACGGAGCAGCTTTCTGCCTCTATGGCTTCACCTTTTCTAGAAATTTCATATGCCCATGATGCCCACAGTGGGCAGGGATGTGAAGAGCTGTGCCCCAAGGCATGCACTGACCACTTGGGGCTGAAATTCAATGTCAGAAGAGCAGCTATGGGGCATCCAGCCACTATGCCCCCCTTGCCTCTGCACTGTGAGCCTCTCTGTGCCCCTCAGCCTGCAGTCACTTGTGCCAAAACGCCAACTGGGTTCCCAGCCCAGCATCCTGTTCAGCGAGCATTTTTGTCATTCACAGTAGTTCACCTTAAGTCATGTAGCCTTTCTACACTCTGGCCATGTGAGCTGTAAGAGGTCAGAGGGCAGCTGGGAGGGAAGAGCCCCTACAGTGAAGAGAAAACATGTTCGTCTCTGAGCCTGCTGGTGTGCAGATGCCCACACGAATCTGTGTGTTCTAGACAGCAGGGGCTCTGGCGTATTGGTTATAAAATGCAGTTCTGCAATTTTAAATACACTCTGTAGCCTGTTGTTGTCATTAACTGTGGTCCAGTTGGCTCTGACTCACAGTGATCACAGGCACAACAGCACGAAGCAGTGCCCAGTCCTGGTCCATCCTCACAGTCGTTGGTTTGTCCAAGGCCATTGTTGCAAACACTGTGAAGGTCAAGTGTCTTCCAACCAAGGGGCTCATCACCCAACACTATATCAGACAATGTTCTCTTGTGATCCATAGGGTTCTCACTGGCTAATTTTGAGAAGTAGATCACAGGCCTTTCCTCCTAGTCTATCTTAGTCTGAAAGTCGGCTGAATGCCAAGCACCATGGGTGAGCCTGCTGGTATGTGAAATACCAGTGGCATAGCTTCTGGCGTCACAGTAGCACAAAAGCCACCGTAGCAGGGCTAGTTGACAGAAAGGTGGTGGCTTTGGAGCCTCAAAGACAGAATTTAACTATTTCATGAAATGACTCCAATTAACCCAATGCAAACATCAACACTGCAAGGTGGAGGTTTATCACTGACCAAACTCATGTGGCGAGAATAGCATCCAGATGCCCAGAAGATGTGAGCTTAGTGGGACATTGGTAGGTGCCTAATGGGGCTGGGGGCACATATGGGGGTGACACTGTCTGTCTGCTCCTCACAGGGCGTGGAGGGCACAGGGCTGGCCTTCATCGTCTTCACTGAGGCCATCACCAAGATGCCGGTGGCCCCGCTGTGGTCCGTGCTTTTCTTCATCATGCTCTTCTGCCTGGGCCTGTCGTCCATGTTTGGGAACATGGAGGGTGTGGTTGTGCCCCTGCAGGACCTCAAGATCATCCCCCCCAAGTGGCCCAAGGAGCTGCTCACAGGTACGCGTGGTGGCTCTCAGCAGCATGCTCAGTTCGGTCAGCCCATGCTGAGCTGCGTGGACACACCTCAGGTCAGACATAGTTCAAGAAGAGGAAAAGGTCAACTTGGCCTTGGGGAAGAACAGTCAGAAAAGGTGTCTTCCCAATGGAGGGTTACTAAGAGGAATCCATAGTGGAACCCAGAGGGCATTGCAGGCAAAAGGACCCAGAAACATAGGCATGGGGGTCCCGGGAGGGCAAATGTGGGATTTCCAGAGTGTGGACGAGGGGAAGGTGTTGTGTGCTGGGCCCAGGAGTGTGGACCACCCTGCAAACTCTAACATTCTGGAGCATTCCAACAGGGAAACATGTAGGCAGGGCTTGGAATCATGGACATCAGCACAGAGCTCAGTGGGAGCCATGAGACCACCATGAGGGCCACCAACAGAGGTGACAGCTAAGCCAGGGCCACCCACCCATTCTTGGGCTGGGGAAGGTGGGGCCCAGAGAGTTGTAGCAGGAGAATCAGTGTCACTCTGTCCAACTCTAGACAGATGCAGCTGCAGAGGACAAGGAAGGGTTGGTAGGGGAATGTAGTGGGGGCAGGGAGAGTCATAGAAGTGCCAGGCCAGTGAGGCATGGGTTTTAGGGGCAGGGCGTCTTGGCAGAGGATGGGGACTTTATCAAGGAAGCCAGCAGGACTTTGAACATGGTTGAGTGCCATGGGCAGGGCAGGGTGTAGATGGGGAGTGAAGAAAAAGACCTGGGCTATCAGGAAGGACAGCCACAGGCAGCCATCGGAGGCTGGGGGCGGGAGGTGGGTAGAGAAGGAGGTACTTGCTTATTGATTTGTGAATGTGGGAGACCTATGGGACTAGTCCTGAGGAGGATGCACAAGATGACACATTGGCTCAGCTGTAGGCTGGCGCTGTTTAGGAAGAGGCGGGGGGCACCAGGAGGAGAGGCCTCCTGCCTCCATCTGGCTCACAGTCCTTAGGGTCACCCAGGAACACTCTCTCTAAGGGACACCAGACACATGGATGTCAGAGATGTTATTGTTTGAATAGAAAAGCAATCCATGACTCCAGGGTTGGCCTTACTCTCAGAAATAGGGTCGATTTCCCAGAATCCCACTTGCAGGCCGCCCATGGAGAACACGCAATGAGGTTCACAGAATGGCCTCTGCGTGGTCTCCTTAGAGCAGTGTGGGTCAGTGTTTAAATTGTTATTTTCATGAGAAAAAAAAAATTGTTCTTCCAAAACACCCTTTGTTCTTGTGTTCTCTGTATCATGAGTTGGAATTTTTAAGTCCAAAGTTTGATGTCAGCTCACAGGACTGAGCAGCAACCTGAAGCCAGGATTCACTGTTGACCTGGGACACTTCTGCAGAAAGCTGCTCAGATGTGCACATCCCTCAGGCTCATGGGCAGGGGCTTTCCCAGCCAGGCCACATCCCCCAGGCCTGTGCTGAGACCCCCTCCTGGCACCCCTGCCCACTCTGGGGCCAAGTCTGCTCAGATCCGCCCTTCCCTGTCTGCCTACAGGTCTGATCTGCCTGGGGACCTACCTCATCGCCTTCATCTTCACCCTAAACTCGGGCCAGTACTGGCTCTCCTTGCTGGACAGCTATGCTGGCTCCATCCCACTGCTTATCATCGCCTTCTTTGAGATGTTCTCTGTCGTCTACGTGTACGGCGTGGACAGGTAGGCAGGGAGGCCACGCCTGATGGTGGTGAAGAGCCAGGGTGCAGGAGAGCTCCCTCTGTGGGTGGGTGGGGTTTACAGCACAGGGAAGCACACAGCAGAGACAGGGCCTCCTCTAGATATTAAAACCGTATGTAAGTTTACTTCCAGGAACTCTGGTAGCATAGTGCCTAAGGCATTTGACTGCTAACCAGAATGCTGGCAGTTCAAACCCACCAGCCACTCCTCGGAAGGAAGATGGGGCAAACTACTTCCGTAGTGATACTGCCTCGGAAACCCAAGGAGAGGTCGCCATGAGTTGGATACAACTCGACAGCAGTGGGTTTAAATTTACTTCCATGAGAACAGCATGGTATTAGTGCCAAGCCAGTGACATGGAGAGAAAAACCCGGGAAATGTGGGACTTAAAGTCTGGCTAAGGTGGTATCTCCTTTCCCGGCCAGCGTGACTTGATTTCCCGAAGCAATCCAAACTGTTCTCTCTGGTCCCCAAGTGCATTCTGGTCTGATTGTGCTCAGATCTGCATCCACACTAACATCAGGAGACTGCATAGAGTAACACAGGTGTAGGAAGGAGTCCCCGGGTAGCCCGGCTACTAACTGAAAGGTTGGAATTTCTAGTCTACCCAGAGGCACATTTAAAGAAAGGCCTGACCATACACTGACATGTCAGCCACTGAAGCCCCATGGAGTGCAGTTCTGCTCTGAAGCCCAGGGGACAATCTCATTGCGAATGGACCCATGGCAGCTGGGACATCCTCCTCACACTGTTGGTGATGCAGAGCAGACTCCCAAGGCAAGAGCCCGGCAGATTTTTTTTTTTTTTTTTTTAATGGTAGGGATCCCAACACCTATGAGGAATGGAAACCAGTTGTCACTGAGTTGACACCAACTCATGGTGACCTCACATGTGTCAGAGTAGAGCTGTGTGTAAGGTTTTCAATGACTGATTTTCCTACTGGAATTGCATCTCTAGGCCCAGGCACCACTGGGTGGACTCAGACCTCCAGCCTTTCATTTAGCAGTCAAGAGTGTTAACGGTTTGCACCATCCAGGGCCTCCTAAGGATATACGTATGGAGGGCTTATTTCATCATTAGGTGAGCGACCATAAAAACACCTTACCCACCTAAATCCAAAAACTCACTGCCACCGAGTCAGTCCTGACTAAGTGACACGATAGGACAGAGTAGAACTGTCCCATAGGGTTTCTAAGGCTATAAATCTTAACAGAAGCTGACTGCCTCACCTTCATCCCTTGGAGAGGCTGGTAGGTTTGAACTGCCAACCTTTCAGTTAACAGACACATGCCTTCACTGCTACAGGCTACGTGGGTTCAAGGAGCTCTGAAGGATGATTGAGAAGCACAGGCCAGCTGCACTGTGTTGGAATATGATGCAGATGGTAGCAAAGTGTATTGAGATGGGAATGTAAGGGTTGGCCAAAGACAATCAGTTGGGAAAGACAGTTGCAGCCACATAGCAGATAAACCCTGAAGGCCCATGTCACCTGGTGTGCAGTAAGTGGTATGGCATTCAAAGGTGGTGCCTGTGGCCCTGATTGAAGCCAGGTCCTTAGGGCCTGAGGGCAACAAGAGATGCCGTCTCAAAGGGATGGTGAGAGTGTGGTCCTGAAGGCACCATCTGAGGAGATCGGTCATCATACCCATCCCCAAAGCACCATCCTGGAGCCATCCCAGGTTTAAATCCTGGGGTTACAACTACTTCTCCAGAGGGGTCCTCTTGCTGAAGCCGCAGACCATCTCCTGGTTAATTCCGTCTTCTGAGGGCCCATGCTGGTCCCTGGTTAAGTTCTGTCTGTTGCATTCTGACTTCTCTAGACAGCAAATTTATGTGTGCAGAAGAGCCTTCTGCATAAGGACATCAAACTCTATGGCAGGAAATGGTGGCCTCAGGGACCTCAACACAGCCAAGGACTGGTAGCTCCCTTTTCGAAAGAGGAGGAGGGTTTTGATGGCTTTCTTTCCTCAGTTTTCCCCAAGTTGAGTTGGAATTGACTCAATGGGAGTCACTTTTTTTTTTTTATTTTACATAAGGAGTTTCTGGGTGGCACCCTGGTCAAGTGTTCACTGTGAGCCGAAAGGTTGTAGGTTCAAGTCTACTCAGAGACACCTCAGAAGAAAGACCTGAGGATCTACTCCTGACAAATCAGCCATTGAAAACCTCATGGAGCACAGTGACAACCTGACATGCATGGGTCGTCGTGTTAGTCAACTCAACAGCGGCTGGCTGTTCTTCAAATTTTGCATAAGGTACTAAGCCATGAAAACTCATGATGAACAGAGAAAAGACTGAAGTCGGAGGTTCCATTTTACTTGGATCCATAATCAACATGATAGAAGCAGCAGTCAAGAAATCGAAGGACATACCACATCGGCCAAATCTGCTGCCAAAGACCTCTTTAAAATATAAAAGAGTAAAGATGTCACTTTGAAGACTAAGGTGCACCTGTCCCAAGCCATGGCATTTTCAATAGCCTCATATGGATGTGACAGCTGGACAGTGAATACGGAAGATTGAAGCATTGATGTCTTTGAATTATGGTGTTGGCGAAGGAATACTGAATATACTTTGAATATTGAATATTCTTACTATCAGAAGAACGAACAAATATGTCTCAGAGGAAGTACATCCAGAAAGCTCCTTAGAAGTGAAGATGGTGAGACTTTATCTCATGTACTTGGAGCATGTTGTCAGGAATGACCAGCTCCCGGAGAAGGACATCATGTTTGGTAAAGTAGTCCAACAAGAAGAGGAAGACCCTCAACAAGATGGATTGATACTGTGGTTTCGAACAATAGGCTCAGACATAGCAAGGACTGTGAGGATGGCACAGGTCTGGGCACTGTTTCGTTCCATTGTACATGGGGTTGCTGTGAGTCAGAACTGACTCGATGGCCACTAACAACAACCACACTAAGCCGGGACTTTGGGGAGGATGGTGAGCTCTTTAACAACGCATTTACAAGTCTGAGCTCTGGGTGGTGGTGCCTTGGAATGGCTGGGGTTTCTACACATGTCCCAGGTGGAGATGGTTTCTGGCTGTACTGAATACCTCCTCAGGGCAGGTGTCACCCTTGCCTGCAAGGATGGTCAGGATTTGGACTGGGGTGATTGGGGTGTGGTGCCCCAGGACCGCATCGTTGGGTCCAGGTGCCAGAGAGAGCAGACTGTGTACTTTGCCTTGATGAGAACAGTGGCATGGTTTTGTCCACCAAGTGACGACTCTTCTCTCTGGCCTCGGCTTCCAGGTTTAATAAGGACATTGAGTTCATGATCGGCCACAAGCCTAACATCTTCTGGCAAATCATGTGGAGAATGGTCAGTCCACTGCTCATGTTGGTCATCTTCCTGTTCTTCTTCGTGGTCAAGGTTAATGAGGAGTTGATATACAGTGTCTGGGACCCAGACTATGTGAGTGCTGGATGGTCAACCAGGGGGCCAGGCTAGGGAGAGGCACAGATCGGGCTCCCCGGTGAGGAGGGCTGGGGAGGGAGGCAGCAGTCACGTGGGAGAAGCGGGAAGGCTGGAGAGGGCAGAAGGAGGTGCATGGGAGAAAGAGGGAGGAGGTCTGGGAAGTGTGTGAGGAGTTGTGTGGGAGGAGCGGAAGACCTGGGGAGGGCAGGAGGCAGTGCAGGGGAGGAAGAGAGAAGAGGGCTGGGAAGCATGGGAGAAGGTGTGTGGGAGGAGGGCTGGGGAGAGTGAGAAGCCTGTGGGGAAGACAAGGAGGCACGGAAGGGGCAGGGAGAGGTACTAGGGAGGAGGGAGGGTGTGGGGTGCAGCGGAAGGTCCACGGCAGTCTTGGGGTTAAGGCAGCATTTGGTCCTTCTCCTGTGGCCCACAGAAGGAGGAGACCCCCACTGCAGGAGACCCCCACTCATGCCCAATGTGTTGCTCACCCCAGTTGTCTTCCTCCCCAGGCGGAATTTCCCAAATCGCAGAAAACAACGTACCCCAACTGGGTGTACGCCGTGGTGGTGATCGTGGCCGGGACCCCCTGCCTCATCATCCCTGGCTTCGCCGTCTATAAACTCATCCGGAACCGCTGCCAGAGGCACGGGGACCAGCAGGGCTTGGTTAGCACCCTGTCATCACCCTCAGTGAACGGAGACCTCAAGTACTGAGTGCAGCATGCAGCCCACGGGCAGGTGCATGGCGGGACTGATGTGAAAGGAAGGGCCAGTAGCAGGGCCTGCAGAGTGGTGGCCAGGCTATACGTGTGTGTAAATGTGTGTATATGTATGCACAAGTGTTTATCTATATGTGTGCATGTACATGTGTGTTAAATATATGCTCTGTGGTTGTGAATCTGTGTGCACGTGCATGCACATCTGTGCATGTGTTTTGTGCAGTATGTATATGTGTACACGTGTATTGTGTGCTAGTGTGCATCGGTGTGTGTGCATGTGTGCGTATGTGTTAGATGCATGCAGTGTGTGCATGCATATGTGTGCACATGTGTGGGTATGTGTGTGTGCTGTGATGTGTGTATTTGTGTATTTGTATGTAGTGTGTATGTGTATGCATGTGTATGTTCCTATGTGGTAGATGTGTATGTGGGTGATTGTGTATATGTAGGTGGTGTAGTATTTGTAATTGTGTATGTGTGTAATCTGATGTGTGTATGTGTGAAGAGTGTATGTATGTGTATGTGTGTGCATGCACATGTGTGGTAAATGTGTATGTGGTATGTGCATGTGTATATGTATGTGGTGTATATATATGTGTGGATGTGTGTGGTATACATGTGCATACATATCTGTGCATGTATACACAAATCTGTGCATGTGCATATGTATGTTAAGTCTGTGTGGTGTGCGTGTTTGTTGTGCCATGTGTGGGGTATACATGTGTGCATTCCTATGTGTGCATGTGTGTGCATGTGTGCATACGTATATGTATATGCATGTGTGTGTGTGTGTGTGTGTTGCCCTACAGCACACACACCTCTTGCCCTCATCGTGGACACAGTGGTGACATACTCTGTCACCCCTTGAGAAGAGTGCCTCTGGGTCCCTCTGTGCCCTGCATGTGCTCCAGGGGAAAGTCAAAAGCCTGGGGAGGTGGCTGCAGTGGTTCATGTGTGGAAGACCGTGAGAGACAGGGACATGCATTGTTATCTCAGCTGCCCTCCCCTGCATGCTTCCCCTTGCTGGTGGCCCTGAACCTAAGAACTCCTGCAGTAATGGTCTGGCCTTTCTCCCCATGGTGAGGACGAGCCCCCTGCTACCAGCTGCACTCTCGCCATCTACATCTGCCTGAGTAGGTCAGCGGCTGGTGACGTGATGGCACTCTGCATCCCGCCTCCCCAACCAGCCCTCCCAGAAGTCCTGAGTCCTTTGCCTAGTCCGGGCTTAATGAATGCTTGCAAATTTAATCATTGCTTCTGGCCACCACAGATAGGTGAGCAGTTAACCAAAACAAACACTGCATAATTTACAGAAGAAGCCACCCTTTGGGTCTGGTTAAGAGGACATTCCCTGCATGAATTTTTATCCCAGTGTTGGAAAGATGGGTTATATGGTAACCTGGAGTTGGCCGCCTTCACTCAGGGCTCTTGACGCCTCCCTGCAACCTCAAGTTGAAGCCAATGTCAGCTCTCTGCCTGTCCCTTTCATGGATGAATTGTTCTCTGGGATTTAATGTCCAACCTCAGCCAAAGTTACTCAGAATTTGGGATATTTGCTTCAGGGAACTGGCTGTCTCCACTTCCCATGGAAAAATCTAGAAGTTTAAACTAAACTGGACTTTCTGGGAATTCTTATTGGTGGGGGTAAGCGATTCTGGTAGAGAGTGGCTGCTCAGACCCTCTGCCATGTCTCTCTGCTCAGTGATGCCTTAGAAACGTGCTCACCTTTCCCTGTACCGTTCATCCACTGGTGGCCAAAAGCTGCAGCCCCCTGGCTGCAGCTGTCTGGGTATTCAGACGCCCGGCAGTGTCCCCTGGTCCGACTACCAGATACTCCCATCACTTAGTGGCCACTCACCTGGACAGCATGGTCAGTGAAACCCACAAGACAGAGGCAGGTTGCTGAATCCTTTGCCCTTTGCCGTGACAATGACCCAAATACACTTGTGGTGACAGTAAACGAGGGTCTTCAGTGTCTCTCTGGCCTCCAAAATCTGGTCTGCACTTGGACTCAGTGGGTTCTACATATTTCCCAAAATTCTTTGCCCATTGGACAAGCAGATCAGTGCCCTGTCCCTATGCTGCCTATGTGTCAGCTACTGGGGCCAGCCTGACAATGCTGCCTGCTGTGCGCCTGGGCCTAAGACCCTCAGGGACATTGTTCTCCAACGGAGGGAGGGGAGGCATCTCACAGTGGTATGCCCAAGCAGGGGGAGGGGAGGCCCCTCACGTGTAGTGTGCCCAAGAGGGGAAGCCATTTCCCATGTTTGCATGTTTCCTAACCACTCACTGTTTTACATGTTTTGGCATCCTTGTCAACATGTCAGTGCACAGTGTACAGCAGTGTGCACTGTGGAAATAAACCACTTCTAGTCAATGCTCCTACCTGCAGTAGTGGTCTGAGCACAGAGTGATGAGCAGTTCAGACCCCAGGGAAACCAAAGAAGAGGAAGCTGGCCCAGGCCATGGGTACTGCTCGAGCCCCCACCCTCCAGCTTGGTTTCAGGGTGTCTCTGTGAAGAAGCTACGGTGCTGGGTCCACATGGTCCTGCACACGGTGGGATGTGCAGGTGATGCCCTGCCACTTTCTGAGGTCCCAGGTGGCTCCATTTGGTTGGGTGGGAGCAGGCGGGCATCAGGTGGCCCCCAGGGCCTTCTGACAGGGACATCGCTGGCAGAGACTAGCTTAGTGTCAGCTGGGTCAGGGAGAGGTAAGGAGGAGAGATGTGGGGACACTGTGGAATCGTACAGGACAAGTAAGCCCCCCACAATGCCTCTCTGGGCCTCTCAGGACCCTCCCTCCACCTCCTTTGGCTCCCTTTTCTCATGCAGTAAGAGCTGCCTGGGGGTGGCAGCAGAAGTAATTGGGGAGTGGGTGCTGAATAGGTGTAAAAAAGGCATGTCCTTGGCAGAGCCATCTGGCTCCCTCTAACTTAATAATAGGAGAGAGAAGCAAGATCAACAGCCCAAGGCTGATCCCTATGAGGCAGAGGTCAGACATGCCTCCACCCTCCACCTTTTACAAATTCTGCCACCCACCATCCCTCCCATGGCACTCTCTACATTCTGCTGGGTTCAGTGGTCACAAACAACTCACAGACAATACTCACCATTATGGGATTTATTTGTGAAGCAACAGGTTATTACCCAGGGTTGGAAAGGTCTCAGGACTCAGTTCTTCAATTAGGACAGCCTCTTCTCAGCCGGGCCACAGGCTCACCTCTCTCTAGCCATTGGCTTCTTAGCCCATCTCCCTGCAGTCCCTTGACTCTGCCCTGATCTGGCCCTTAGCTCTGCTGGTCAGTGCCTTCCCACTCTGCTGGTGAGCCTCAGCCCAAAGATGCTTGGCTTTCTCACTCCAGGGGTCGGGAAACCCACCGGACCCTCTCCAACCCTTCTTCCACAGTTCTGCTGGCTCTGGGGCTGCTACTTCTCTGCTGCTGATTCTCACTGTCTCTCTCTGTCTCAGCAAGGGGTTACAGCTGTCTCTGTCTCCTGGGTTGAGGAGGTTCTCAGCACAGGAACCCCAGGCCCACAGGAAGCTACTCTGCTCCAGTCTCTTCTTCTTGGTAGTAGCCAGGTACCCATCACCCCCTCTGGGAAGGTTCATTTTAAGCCTAGTGGGATGGCAAAACCAACCAAACCCCATGCCAGGGTTCCATACACCTTATTTGCATGGCCCCACCCCCACAAGCATGCCATGCCTTTTATTTACATTATTAGCAAGCTCTCCAGTTCCCTTGATGAGACACAAACACCTCATATTTGCATAGTCCTACACAGTCCTTGGGAGTTCTGGTGGTGTAGTGCTTAAGGCATTTGGGTGCTAACCAGAAGGTTGGTGGTTTAAATCCTCCAGCCACTTCTCAGAAGGAAGGTTGGGCAATCTACTTCCATAGTGATACCACCTCAGAAACCCAAGGAGGGGTTGCTATGAGTTGGATCCAACTCAACGGCAATGAGTTTGGTTTGGTTTGACCCAGCCATTTGGTGGGCATGACAGACCATGGCTGGAAGGGTCATACCACGTAACTCATTGCACTGCAGTGGGGGAGAGCAGAGTGGACCAGACGAGAAGGTCTCCACCCTAGAAATCACCCTTGGCTCCTGTGCTAGTTAAGTTGTTTGACAACTTGGCTGAGCATGGTTTTGAGGGGCTGGGCAGCTGGTTGTGGTTATTCCCTATGATGAGATTGGTAATCGATTCCACGGTGAAATCTACTGGAGCAGCTGAGTAGCTGCCTTATGGATGTGGTCTGCTCGCAGTATATAAGAAGCTTTGCGAAAGATCTCCAAGCTATTTGGCACACCTGGACCCTGCATGTAGCTGAGTCTTCATCTCAATGGCCTGCCATGTTGATTGCCTTTCTTGGGACTGTTAATGGACTTGAATTAGTGGCCTGCCATGATGCTTGATAATTTTGGGACTGTACCATTTTACTTGTTGACCTTGGGTTTGTCAGCCTCAGCAGCCAGCTGCTGTCTGAGTTGAGAAAAGCCTCCAGCTTCAGTGGACTGGAAGCAAGGGACAGAACTGAAGCCCAAGGTTGAGGGACATTCACCCATCCTCTAGAGTGGGCACTTTACTCAGACTTGCAGCCTACTAAGCTGTAGGAGAATTAATCGCTGTTTGTTAAAGACAGCCATTTGTGGTATGTCTGTTAGAGCAGCCCTAGAGAACCAAATCCTCTGTGGTAGTAGGGTCCCAACCATGGCACCAGCATGGGGGTTAAACTTGGTGAGGGTGTCAGGCCCCAGGCTGGGAACCCAGTACCAGATGCCCCTACTGTGAGTACATTGGAGGGTGTGGAGGGGCAGCCCTACTGAGCAAGGCAGCTCTTCTGGGACCCATGAGGACATCTTTAAAAGTGAGACATTTGGAACCACCTGGAGATTTCAGAATTCAGAACATTTGAGAACTTACGAGATGCCTTTTAAGAAATAAATGCAGCTTAAAATCTCCCCATGCCACTTCCACTCAACCCAACAATACCACAATCAACATTTATACCAGAGAGTGAACACCTAAGTCCACACACACTCCTTCACAAGGGCATGCGGGGCAGCTCATTCCAAACAGCCAGCACTGGACCTGGAGGCCAGCCAGTGTTCTTCAGCAGATGAGTGGTCCACCAGGGGTACTCCACTATAAAAAAGAGCAAACCACAGATACTTGCAAGGAGGTGTCTCTGGGGAACAGTGGGGAATGAAAGAGTCAGTCCCAAAGGGTCTCATTCTCTGTGAATCTTCTTACGTAACTGTCTCAGTCTCCCGGTGCTGCTATAATGAAAGTACCATGAGGGGGTGGCTTGAAAGAAGAGACATTCATTCTCTCACAGTTATGGAGGTGAGAAGTCCAAATCAGGGTCTCAGCAGTGTCAATTCCTTCTGTGAGCCCCTCTCCTGGTTCTGATGTCTGCCAGTGATCCTTGGCATTGCTTTGCCTGTAGATAGCCTCATGTGTCATCTGTCTCCCCCTGTGTGTCTCAGGGGCTAATCTGCTCATTTCATAACTCAGAAGAGATTAGATTCAGGACCCATCCTTCTCAAGGATGACTTAATTAACATAACAAAGAAAACTCTTTCCAAATAGGGTTACATTCATAGGTGTAACCGAAACCAAAGCCATTCCCATGGAGCTGACTTCAATTAATGGTGACCCCATGTGTGCAGAGCAGAACTGCATTCAGGAAGGTTTTCATGGCTGTGACCTTTCAGATGGAGATGGCCAAGCCTTTCTCTCAAGGCACCTCCTGGTGGGTTGGAATTGCAAGCCTTTCTGTTAGTCATTGAGCATTCAGCCAGTTGCACCAGTCAGGGACGCCATGGATCCAGGGGTAAGAATTCCAACACAGATTCTGAGGGAGCACTGGGCAGTCCACAACAATAGCATTCTTGAAGTGACAAAATTATAGAACTTCAGATTAGTAGCTGCCAGGGGTTAATGAAGGAGAGAGGGAGTCCTCATAGCTCAGTGATTAAATGCTTGGCTGCTAACCAAAAGGTCAGTGGTTTGAACCCAACAGTCACCCCACAAGAGAAATAGGAGGCAATCTGTTTCTGTAGAGATTACAGCCTTGGAAAACCTCTGGGGCAGTTCCACTCTGTCCTCTAGGGGTGCTGTGAGTCAGAATTAACTCCATGGCAATGGGTTTGATTTGGGCTTTGCTTCTGTAAAGATTGACAGCTTTGGAAACCTGATAGGGCAGTTCCATTCTGTTCTATAGGGTCACTATGAGTCAGAATCGACTTGATGGAAACTAGGTTGGCCTGGTTTTTTTGGTGAGGATGAAGGAACAAGAGTAAAGTAGGAGTGGTTATCAAAGGGCAGTGGGAGGGATCCTGGTTATATGGAATGTGCTGTATCTTGACTGTGTCTGTATCAGTATGCTGCTTGTGAAATTGCCCTAGAGTTTTGCAGGATGTTATCACTGGGGGAAACTGAATAAAGGGTATACAACACATCTCTCTCTGTATAATTTCTTGCTACTGCATGCAAATCTACAATTATCTAAAAATAAAATGTTTCATTGAAAGATTAATTATGATTATTGGTGTTAGGTGCCATTGAGTCAGTTTCAATTCAAAGACACCGTTCTGTGTACAACAGAACGACACCCTGCCTGGTCCTGCACCATCCTTGGCATCACTGTTTGTTTGAGCCCATTGTTGCAACCACTGTGTCAATCCATCACCTCCTTTTTAAAAGTAACTAAATATGTGTGTCCGATCTAGGGAATCCCTGAATATCCCCAATAGGGAAGACAAGGCGATTATTTAAAATGGTTCTCACACCACTGGTGGCACCAGGGCCAAGAAGGCAGTGTGCATGGGACAGAAGACATGGCAGAAGTGGCTGGAGGACACAGAGGTCAGAGAGGGACTGTCCCACTTAGAATAAGAACTTAGTTACAAGTTACCAATTAACTGGGCTCAACTGGTTTTCCTTTAAATAAATGAAAAACTGTAACCTGAGAGGAGGCTGGCGTGGCTTCAGTTCGTGGGGTCTGCAGTGCAGTGGGCAGTCTCTGCCCTGTGCCCTGAGTGCCAGGGCTCTGCAGACACCTGATTCAGTAGTGCTCAGCAGAGAGGGGAAGAATGGCCCACACCTTGGGATCAGAGCCGTTTGCAGAGGACAGCGAGGAAGAGAGGCCCAAATGGGACAACAAGTTCCAGTACCTCCTGAGTTGCATTGGGTTTGCCGTGGGGCTGGGGAACATATGGCGGTTCCCATACCTGTGCCAGAGTCATGGAGGAGGTAAGCATGGCACCTACACCCTGCTCTGTAGTGGTCCCACTCACAGGTAGTCCATTCCCATCCCATGCACGCTCCAGGTAGGAGAAAGACGCCAACAGCACCTCCACCTGTTGGGTGCCAGGTGCTGCCTCACCCTTCCTGGGTCAGTAGCTGCTCCAGGAATTATCACTGCGCCTTTACACAAAGACCAACGCAGTCTGATGGTGTCTGTGCCTTCTGGAATTTCTGGAGACTCCTTCCCAAGGTTGTCAGAGAGCAGAATTAGTGATACCATTCATTACGTGTCATTCATTAATTCTTGAAGCAATAGATGGTCTATAAACCCTGAATGTGCCAAGGCTTCTGGGAAACTAGATATCAAAGCAAGGGTAAACACCATCGCCTTAGATTTCCAGATGTATTCACACGAAAGGAGTGTGAAAACAGTTAAGCTAAAACATTGGCGGTTCAAGTCCATGCAGGGGTGCCTCAGGAAACAAGCCTGGCAATCTGCTTCAGAAGTCACAGCCTTGAAAGCCCTAAGGAGAAGTTCTACTCTGCACACATGGAGTCACCAGGAGTCAGTGTGTACTCAACAGCAAACAACCACAACATCCCTAGGAAGGTGATTTTTTCCTCTGGGATCTTCGCACGAAGGCATGTTGGGAAGCATGGACACCAGACACCAGCAGGGCAGAGGTCCCTGCCATCCCATCTGTCTTGCCCTGAATCACTAGAGTGTCACGTGGAGCATGCTTGAAACAACCCCAAAATACCCATCATGCTACTGTAACGTCCATAAATGTCTGATTGATCATAATCCAGCCTACAAACCACTTGCATCAAGTCAATTACGACTCATGGTGACCCCAAGTGTGTCTGAGTAGAACTGCTCCACAGTGACCACCGAGGCTGACTTTGCTTCTGAGAAGCCCGTGGGTGGATCCGAGCCTCCAACCTTTCAGTTACTGGCCAAGTGCATTAACTTGGTACACCACTGAGAGACTCCATAATCAAGTTAGCAATAGCTAACTGCCTACTGTGGACCTGGAAATGTCCTATGAACTCACCTTCTTTGACCTCATAACCCACCAAGTGGATACCATCAGTCCAGCACCACATGGAGGAGGTTAACAAGCCATAAGGCTGTGTCACAGTGGTGGCCTGAGTCTGGCCCCCCTCTGAAGGACACTATGGAAGGGGAAGAACAGCCAGTCTTGTCCGGAGCTGTGCTCACAGATGTTTGTTTTCTCTGGTTGAAACCCTTCTTCAGAATCTCCTTCCTGGTGTGAAATCACTCATCAATTTCATGTAAATTCCCTTAACTCACACTCTTCCTGAGTTGTGCTCATTTGGGTTCTGGCCCTCTGCCTGGAGTGCCCATTTGAGTCTCATTTTTACTGGCATTCAGTAGTTGGACGAGAAGCTAGAATTTGATACATGGATAATACAGCAAATGTTTTGATTTGCATAAATTCATTACATGTAAAGGTGAATATTATGTTCTCTTCTATTTTTAATGATTCAACTTTACAAAATTTCAATTCAAGGGTAACACTTTTAAGGTATATTGTTAATAGAGTTAAGGAAAAGATTTAGAATGCTTTTTTTTTTTTTTTTTTTTTAATGGGGTCATTTAGGACTTTTAGGACAGCAAATGGAACAAAATTTGATATAATTGGAAAAGTCATTCTACACCACCACAGCAATTATAAATAAAATTGGACCTGACCACATATAGTATAAGATTTTATTTTTTTTTTTTTTTTTTTTTTAATGGTGATTTGGATGAGAGTTTACAGAGCAAATTCACTTCCCGTACAACAATTCAGACATTTTGTTTCATGACATTGATTGCAATCCCCACAATGTAACAGCTCTCTTCCAGCTCCCTCCCGGTGGTTCCCTCCTCCCTGAGTCCTTCTTTCCTGTGCATTCCTGCCCCCTGAGCCATCTCCCTGTGCAGATACTGCAGCATGATCTCCTGTGGTTCATCGGTCTACATGGAGTAAATGTTCACCTTGTATGCTGTCTATTGTTTGGCTCAGAAGGATGGGCAATCTATTTCCATAGGGATACTGCCTGGGAAACCCAAGGAGGGGTCACCACAGTCTGACTCGGATCTGACTTGACAGCACTGAGTTTTGGATTTTTGAGTATTGTTTCGCTGGAACCCATGGGAGTGAGCTCATTTCCAGGCCCAAAGGGATACTAGGGGCCATAGTCTTGGGGGTCTCATCAGTCTCTATCAGACCAGTAAACCTGGTCTTTGTTATGATTTTGAGTTTTGTTACACATTTTTCCCCCACTCTATCCAGGATCCCATTTTTCGGATCCCTTTCCAAGTGGCTGGCATTGGTAGCCGGGACCGTCTAGTTCTTCTGGTCTAAGGGTCATGTAGGCTGAAGTGTACATGGTCTACCAGTCCCTTGGACTGATTGTTTCCCTGGGTCTTTGGTTTTCTTCTTTCTTCCTTGCTCTGGATGAGAGACCAATTGTTGTGTCTTAGATGGCCACTTGCAAGCAGAAGATTTAGAGTGATTTTATGACAAAAATACTGTTTGGGGGTGAGCTGACTTATTGGGTATCTAGCACCTTCAAATCAAAGAAATGAGGCATCCAGAAAGTCCAAGGCGGTTGAGTGTTCCTAACTGGAATACTTTTTACACTTTGTTGGAGTCTAAGGTTTTAGGAAAAGGAGCCCTGATGGCACAGTGGTTAAGCACTCATCTACTAACCTAAAGGTTGGCAGTTCAAACCCACCAGTCACTCTGCAGGAGAACTATTAGACAGTTGCTTGCATAAACAACTCAGCTTTGGAAAACCTGTGGCAGTTCTACTCTGTCCTCTAGGGTCACTATGAGTCAGAATCAACTAGAGAGCAGTGACATTAAGGTATGCGACCCACCACCTGCCTGTCAGTTTCTGTTACTGCAGTGGCTGCTTGTTCAAATGATACTGGAAGTTATGCTACCGATACTTCACATACCAGCAGGGTCACCCAGTGGAGATTCCAGACTAACACAGATGAGGGAGAAAGGCCTAATGATCTCCCTCTGAGAGGGGAGGGGGAAGGAGCTGGGGAGAGAGGGGAGGGAGGAAAGGGACTGGGGGAGAGAGAGGGGAAGGGATTACTGGGCATCATCCTGGAGGCTGGCTACTATGGTGCTTGTTGACACATTTGTTTTTAGGACCTTATGGAATTTACTTACAGAACTGCACCCATTATATGAACACATCTCCCTTACTTTGATTATAATGTGTTGTCCTATTCAACATACAGGCATCATTTCTACTTTTTGTTGTTAGAAAAAAATAATTCCTGACTGTCGTTCTGCCGTTTCCTTGTGCTCATGGCAAGAGTTTCTCGGGGGCTTATACATGACAGAGAAAGGCTAGACCATGGGGTGGCCCATTTTCAAGCTGACTAGGTGTCTACAAGGAGTGCAGCCCAGCCCTGTAAGCATTGCTATTGCTCTATGCCGTCCAATGTGTGGCCTTCAGACTTTAAATGTGTGCCTAGATCACCATGTGGAAGAGGTGCTTCTCTGCTGCTTCATTCTTCAATCACAAGAAGGTTGGGCTTCTCTCTGAGATCGACTGGCCCCACCATTGCCTCATTCACAACTACACAGGGCCCAGCCAAGGGCCCAGCCAAGGGCAGCATGCCACATCCCAGCTCCAGTGAGAACATGGGCTGAAGCAAAAACAGACACCAGGGTCTGGCAACTAAGTAGCATCTTTCAGGGTGTCTCGATACTGTAAGTCTGTGTCCCTGACATTCAAGGCCCATCTCGGTCTATCAGGGAGACACAAGTGGCTCTCCTTCAAGTCCGAGGTCCAGTAGACATAGGTGACAATTGGTACTGACTCCTGTGTCCTCCCAGGTGCCTTTCTCATCCCCTACTTCATTGCTCTGGTCTTCGAGGGGATCCCACTCTTCCACATCGAGCTCGCCATTGGCCAACGCCTGCGCAGGGGCAGCATCGGGGTGTGGACAGCCATCTCCCCCTACCTTGGTGGAGTAGGTATGCTCAATCCCTCTGGGCCCCTGCTACTCCTGCTTGGGAACGGATTGGGGGTTCCCAGGTGGAGAGTGGACTGGAGCTGGGCTCCAGTGGCCTGAACAAGGCCAGCCTGGGCAGCTGAGAGGCCCATATCAAAGTTGCCACCAAGGGCATGGAGGGGTGGGAGGTGCAGCATTCTCAGGGTGAGGGGTTGTGGCCCTCCAATGGCTCCCTCATCCAGCCACGTACATGTGGCAGTCTCAAACGCGCAGATAACAAGACATCTGTTCTGTGTGAATGTTGGCATCCATGCAGCACACCACAAGCAGGTGTACACACCTCTGTGTACACCTCTGTGCACACCCTCGAGAAGTATGTACTGAGATGTCTCAGTTGGTGCCCTTGAAAGCAAAGCCTGGAATAAGGACTTGGGTGCATGATGTTATTCGGGGCCTCAGGATACAGGCGAGAAGGAGCTGGTGTCCCAGGCAGGAGGAGGAGCCGATGGAAGGAGGCCGCCACCCAGGCAATGGGGCTCAGCTTGGTCAGTGCACAGGACTGTCCAGATTGCCCTGGCTCCTATGTGTCCATGGGAGGCTGAGCCTGGCACGTCCAGTGCTCACAGGCATCAGAGGATGCCTAGGGCAGAGCACAGAGCTGAACATGCAGATGCTAGAGTGGGGTCCGAGTGTCACAGTCCAGCATGTGACATGCTGCACTGAGGTAGCAATCCCTGTAGCACCACCTCGGACAGCACCACCTGGGACCACCTACAAAGCCAGTGATTGAATGAACTGAGACCCGGCAGGCCCGTAGTCTGACATGCAGGTTGTGGTGCTGATATGGGAACCCGTGGGGGTGAGCTGAAAAGCAGACAGAGGATCTAAGGAGAGTCAGACACAGAAGAGGGCACCCAGGAAGCTGTTATTCACGTTCATGTGTAGAAGAGAAACAGCAGGGTGGCCTGACTTCCACTCTGTACTCCCTGGGTTGCTTTGGCTTCTTTATCTTTATTTTTCACACGAAGGTGCAGGGAGGAGGCGGCCTGCTGGCTGGCTGAGCGTGATAGCCAGCCCAGGCTGACCACTCACTGGTGTGTCTACAGGGCTGGGCTGCTTCACTGTGTCCTTCCTGGTCAGCCTGTACTACAACACCATCTTGATGTGGGTGCTCTGGTATTTCCTCAACTCCTTCCAGCACCCATTGCCCTGGAGTGCCTGCCCCCTGGACCTCAACAGGACAGGTAAGGGGCACTGGGGAGGGCCAGTGGCTGGGGCTCCACACAGCCACGCCAGGACCAGTGTATCTATGGACTGCATAGAGTACATGGGCTGTAGGAAAACCTCAGACAATAAGACCCTCACAGAGCTCAAAGACCAGGAAGTGAGAACTTCCCACACATTCGTATCCCACCCAAACCACACCCACTGCTGTCAAGTGGCTCCAACTCACGGTGCCTCTGGAGGACAGAGTGGAACTGCCTCGTAGAGATTCCAAGGCTGTGAATCTTTATGAAAGCAGACTGCCTCATCTTTCTCCTGTAGAGTGGCTGGTGAGTTTGAACTGCTGACCTTTTGGTTAGCAGCCTAGAACTTTAACCACGGTGCCACTAGGGCTCCTTGTATCCCATGAGTGCTCCTATATCAAACATCTGAAAGATTTTGTTGACACCTTCATGGGGATCCCATGTGTTGAGGGTAGAACCGAGCTCCCTAGAGTTTTCCTGGTTGTCATCTTCATGGAAGCAGATTGTCACCTTTTTCTTCCCTAGTGCCACTCCTCGGAAGGCAGGTTGGGCAATCCTACTTCCGTAGTGATACTGCCTCGGAAACCCAAGGAGGGGTCGCTATGAGTCGGGGTCAACTCGACGGCACATAACAACAACAACAACAGTGCCAGTGGGTAGATTCGAACCACCAATGTTTCCTAGTTAGTAGTCAACAGGCAATCTTTTGAGCCACTTAGGAACCTGGACACACAAGGTTTCCACGAGTAGGATTTGACAGCTACAGGTTTGCTTTTAGGTTTTTTGGGTTTATTGATGTCTTACTTGTCTACTGAATAAATAAGTGGTGACCTTGTGGGTCTGAAAGACGAAATCTCTGCAGAGGTCCCGTGCTCTGCAGCTTCACCTCCCAAACGTCCACGCCTGGTGTCTTTGACACTAAGGGCAGTGTTAGCCACCACAGCTGTTCCCTAGCTTGGCAATGAGAAGTCTTTTGGTCCAGAGCTCAGTAAAGCGCTCCGTTGGGGGAGTGGAGGGCTTAGAGACATGGCTAACAGTCATTGTTATAAATGGCTTCTTCATGAAGCCACTTGGAGTTTCCCCTCCTACTTGTTTTTCATCGACATGAACCCTATGTTTTGTACGTGCTGAACAGGATGCGGCTGGGGTGGGGGCTGGACAGGGAATTGGGGCCTGTCCTCCCTCTCAACCTTACAGCAGAGTCAGGATGTCCTGAGGCAGCAGAGGCACTGGGGGCCAGGCTTTGAACCACTCACAGAGGGGTTTGTTTTGGTTACCTCTAGTGCTGCTCTGACAAAATTTATACCACAAATGGGTGGCTTTAACAAACAGGAGTTTATTTTGTTACAGTTTTGGACTCTAGAAGTCTAAGTTCAAAGTGCTCGGCTCTAGGGACAGGTGAAAGCCCCTCAACCTTGGGCTTTAGCTCTGACTCTTGTTCCTTGCCCAGTGAGCTGGAGGCTGTCTTCACTCAGGCAGCTGCTGGCTGCTGAGGCTGACATACCCAAGGTCAACAAGTAAAAAGACATTGTTGTTATGTTGTTGTTGTTAAGTGCCATCAAGTCGTTTCCAACTCATAGCGACCCAATGCACAGCAGAACGAAACACTGCCCAATCCCGCACCAGCCCCACAATCCCTGCTATACTTGAGCCCATCATCGCAGCCACCGTATCAATCCATCTCGTTGAAGGCCTCCCCCTCTTTCAT